AGAAGCGATGACTGAAAATTTTCCGCGATTTCGAGACCGAGGCGTCGCGCTACCCGGATCCCCAAATTTTCCAAAAACTTAGAAGACTGGGCCTAGCCCGAGACTGCCGAAGATGCCCCGCCCTCTTAAAGCTGCAGCCCGAGCTTCTAAATTTTCCGGAAATTTTGGGTCCTGGGTAGGCCGAACCGGCTCGCGCGCCGTAGTCTGTAAATTCCTCCAAAACTTTGAAGCCTAGGCGCCCCGAAGCGTGCTGCACCGCATAGGGCGCGTGTAGCCGTAGCGCTTTATAGAGTAGATATAATATTCCAAATATGAATTCTTGAGAACTTGATATTTTGGAGTCATCTTTTGTGAAACGGGAATCAAAGATATGATTCCAGCAAGGAGTTCATTATCAAACTAGGATCTACGACGCGAAACAAACCCTACGCCCTACGCAATGGATGTAGCTGCGAGCGGTCTGGGCAGTTGCAACGCAAACATCCAATCAGATTCTTCAATGAAGCCACTGCCATCGACGTCCAGCATTACGAAAGCCCTGGCCAATGCTTCATAAGATACTGCAGACTCAAGATGTTGCAGCACGCGCGCGGCTTGTGCTGGGCCCATGCGACCACTTCGGCCTGCGAGTGCACGAAAGACGTGCGCCCCAGGCAGAGGAGTCCTCATGACGGCGTTGCGCAGGCGGGCAAGGATGGACTGAGCTTCTTCGGTGATTTCCTCACTGTGTGAAACACCTCGACAATCAGGCCCTGAACAAGCTGACGAGTCGCATGAGCTTGCTAGATCAAAAGATGGAGTTGATGACTCCAACTCGGCGATCCGCCCAGGTCTGGTATGTCGGGTGTGAAGGGGCACAGACACACATCGCAGCCTGCAACGTTGATATCTCCACCTGCGTATAAACTCGCCATGGATCTCGGCCAGCTGTCGGCCAGAAGATGCCAGCTCTTCGAAACTGAGCATAAGCTGTCGTTCTAGTCTTTGTCTTTCACTCTCTAGCAAGACAGCCCGTTGCAGTAGGTGTGCCTGGAGAGCCTGAAGCTGCCACTGCAGATGGAGGGCCTCAACTTGTGATTGCAAATCTGCCACACGTTCGCTCAAGGCCACCACTTCCGGGAAGATAACCCCCCCTCCAGTGACTCCAGTGTCTTCACCAACCATTGCACGGCAAATGGGGCACGAAGGCTGCTCGGTCAGCCATTGCAGGAAGCAGTCGTCGTGCCAGCTGCTGTGACCACAAGGCAGTGGTCTCGTAGCATCACCTCGTCTGAGCTCGTGTTGGCAAATCACGCAGGTGTCGCCTGCTTGCAAGTCAACAGGCGCTGATGGAGGCAACCCTTGTACGGCGTTGGCACATTCCGAGCTGTACACCTGCACATCTTGTGCAGACTCGACCTTGGTTGCTTCAGGCTGATAAAATGCCGCGCCGGTCGTCACAGCTTTACTTGGCGGAGCTGCTTGAGAACTCAGGGACGGACGATGAGCTGACGGCCTGCCTGATCCCGAAAGTGACGCCCTAGACTTGATGCGTCGGTCATGACTCGAGCCAACGCATGCACAGCCAGCAGAAAGGTGCTCCGAATGGCAACAAACCAGCTAGAAATAAGATAGTCTGCTGCGGCCACCTGCGGACGAAAGCAAGAAGCATCGACATGATTTTGGCGCGTGGCTGTCCTTGAGGATCCACAGTGAAAATTGGACAACTAAGTACCCGCATGATGGTACGAGGCGCATTACGTGCTTCCTTCTGCGAAGGTGCCGATGCTGCCGATGTTCAGGACTGTGCGTCCGTGCTGTCGTCCTGCCCGGATGCTTGTCGCGTCAATTGGTTCCTGGCACGGGCATCCTCAGCATACTTGTCCCAGTCGCTGCGGGATATGATCAGAAGCACGATCACGGCTTCAACAAAAGTCACGCCAGCTTGAACCCAATACACGACATGCACATCAACATGGAAGGCCAAGACTAAAATTGCAATGGTTCCGAGGGAGAGTGGAAGTTCGAATAACATCACCATTACAGCACTGAGGTAGGTGCGCCCTTGGCTTGCAAGTATTCCTCCGTTCACGGTGCTCACCGCGCCAGCGAAAAGGAAATTGAGGGTGATCGGCACAAGCAGCTCTGAGGCCAACTGCCTGATCTGAGGATCGTTTGTCATCAGCGACATAAACTCTTTCCTGAGCGGAAGGGCCACTGCGGCGAAGAGCGCCGTCAGCGCTGCCTGGGCGCACAGATTTTGCACACGGTATCACGAAGCGCAACACTGCAAGCAGTTCCTGGCTTAATTCCTTTCCGACATGATTCACAAAGCGTGCCTGCGTGCCAAGGCAAAGCCATGCTGTCTGCGCGGCCTCTTTGGCGGCACCTTTACCCAGCTTCATCCCCACTCGGATGGCTGTCATCGAAGAGAAGGTAATGAGCAAACACACGGTGATCGGCACTGTGGCTTGCGCAGCCGCACTGCTTGAAGAAACCTGCAATTTGCCAAGCTTTCCAACCAACAGGGTTGTGGACTGAGAGATCAAGAACTGAAGCAGCATGGTGCCAACCTGAGGCAGCACCTGTGCAAAATATGGTCTCAAATATTTCCGCTGCAAGAAGTCACAACCCATTCCTGGCCAGGTCGGCGCATGTGCCTTTGTAATCACGAACATGTACAGCCAATAGAAGAAGCTTTGCACAATGCGAGAGCAGCTGATAGACAAGGCTGCACCAATGAAGCCGAGACCTCCCACGTGCCACCACTGCCCATTCTCGGGCCCACCAAAGACCAACAGCCACAAAAAGAGAGCATTGACAAACAGGAAGATCAACCCAAAGTACATGGCGGGACGTGGCTTGCCCTGTGCTTGGAAGTACATTCGCATCGTCACATACCAGCTGTTTGGAAGCACCCAAATGCTGTTGTACCTGGCGTAGACTCCCGCAAGATAACATACATCTGGATCGAAACGTAAAGCGCTCAAAATTTCGTCCACAAAGAAGAAGCCCGTGATGAAAGGAATGGTGCCCAATGTTACACAGAAGAAACTCAACCTTGATTGTCTGGGCCAAAGGCAAACTATGAATCACACTATGGGGAAGACTCTCTCACACGGGTGCAGAAACTTTCTGTCGCAGTTTATTGAATCTATTCCTAGCAATACTGGCTTTGTATTCGACACCCCTTCTCCCTCTCTCGTGTGCTCAGCTCCGGTGTCAGATGCACATCATCACGACGCAGAAAATATGTCGAGCAAGGTACTTCAACCAAGTTCCAACCATCTTGAGATTGCCGGACCCCACTGACTGTGCAATCAGTGGGTTCAATCCAAACGCCATTGCCAACAAGGGTGTCGTCAGAAAATTGGTAATCATGTCCTTGCAATTCAAAAGGGCATCACACGCGACCGAATTTACAAATTCTTACTCGATGCCGCCTGCACGTCGGGGAACCCCCGTAGGATTGCACATGTACCGGCCCATCAAAACAGATTGTTACTTTCCGTGCAAGTGTCTGAAAGAGTAGATGCAGCCAAGTACTCTTTCGGGGAGTAGCTGTCGTCCGTGCCAGCCTCTGTGCCCATCTCGCTCGACTCGAGGGCATCTTCAAGCTGCAAAAGATGATAAGCCGCTGTTGGAAGGCCAGGTATTTCTGCATCTGGGTTGGCCCCAGCCGACTTCAACAAGAAGTGCGACTCGGCTAGTGGTCTGTTTAGATGGCCCACGCAGGCAGAGTCCATTGAGAACATTGCGAACCGGCAGAACATACTTACAGCTATGGGCCATCCCAAAGCCCACATTCCCTTAAGCTCCTTCCTGCAAAAAGGACCCCATGGCTCGAATCCATCGGGTCGTGACGACTCCTGGAGGAGAGCAGCCTCACGGGTAGGCTCGTCCGCCATCGGTCGGCAAGGGGCAACCTGGAGCCTGTGATGCTGCTGCGGAAAACACGCACAGTTGCACCCAAGCGCTGCATCTTTCCTGAAAGCCTGGTCTACAATCTCTGCAGTCACCGCGACGCATTTTATCTTCCAGCCCAGCTCAAGCTTTGCAACATGCAGTGGTTCTCAACAAACTTCAGGACTGCGAGTGGCAGTCAATGAGCACTTGGGCCAGCGCGCGTGTTGCAGAAGCCTGAAGCATGTGTAGGAGAAGCAGGGCCGTTCGTTCGCTGCCCGTGCTTTTCTGGTTCGGGTACGAGCAGCTTGAAGGTTGGCACTCACATATCGAGAGCAAAGATTCCAAGCTGGAGTAGTCGGGCTGCATGCCGAAATTCTGGAAAAGACTCACCGTCTGCATCCAAACACCTGTGTCACGAGAGGGAGACGAAGCCGCGCTGGCGAGTGTGTGATGATCTGGCTGAAGCCTCCACATGCCCAGGTCCTCGAGGACTTTGGCGACCGTTCGCCACTGGCTAAAGGTGGATAAAGCTCCCAGAAAAGCATTTGCAACAACAAGCGTCGGCCAACGGCCACAGGGGCCATGGCCCTCAAAATGAGAACCGAAGAGCTGCACCGCGCGAGTCCAGGCCCGGCGGCCACAACGGCAGGCAGCCAGAGAAGTTGCGCATGTCACGAGTGTCGGCTGAAGGCCGAGTCGTTGCCCACTTGCCAGAAGGTGCAGCACATCAGGCCACTTGCCCACTCCTTCCACAACTGCCATAAGGGCTCCATGCGTCACCATGGTTGGGGTTGGTCCACGGCATAGCATGCCTTTGAACACGTGAATGCCTCCTTCCCACAGCGAAGAAGCTGCGCATGCAGAAACTGCTGCATTGCAGCAGATCGTGTTTGCCTGAAGTCTGCTCGTGCCCAGTTGTGTCAATGCTTGCAAAGCCCATGCTCCACCCCTCGGGACGGCGGATGCTGCACTTATCGCCGAGGAAGCACTCACAACATTTGGTTGCGGCCCATATGTCTGCATATGAGAAAAGGCATGCAAGGCATGCTGCCATCTTAAACCAACATCGAATGCATGCAGGGTCGAGCTATGACTGAGAATGTCCGGCTGCCCGCACTTATGCCGCAATGCCTGCATCATGTGAAGCACAGTCTGCCATTCCGTGGCTCGTGCACCAGCAGACAGACAAGAGTTGTGAACATGCGAATTCGTGGGCACAGATCTGTAAATGCTGCTTCCAATCTGGAATGCCAAGGTCCATTGGCAGCCCTTCTCGCAAGCACTAAGCGTCGCACCACGAGAAACAATGTCAGGCGGAAGGCTGCAATGATTCATGTTCTGTGATATCAGAACAGCACCTTGCCACACACTTCCGCGTTCACACGCACTGATGACAGAGGTGGCGGTTACAACATCTGCTTCGATCGAAGAATCGGTCAGGACTTTCGACCTCATGTAGAAGTTGCGAAAAAGCCGTGGATTGCGTTTCCTGCATAACAAACCAACCGCGCTCATGAGTTTGCCAAGGCACAAAGCCAAAGCCATTAACCACTGACCTCCAAGCCAGAGTGGGACAAGTCTCGAACAATAAGCTTGGGACTGCCGGGCCTCTGCATGCGCTTATGGCCGTCCCGATCGCTACCGCATCGAGCCCTCCCGTTGCGCAACATCACTCCCCTCAGTACTTGACTGCCAGATAGATGGGAATGCAGCAGATGCAAGAGGTGTGGATGCCAACAGTGGCACCTGCTCCTCGCAGCCTGAAAAGGCCAGCCTGTGAGATCCATCGCAGGTTTAACATGTAGCCATGCTGAGGCAGTTCGAAACGTGCCACTCAGGTCCGACGCTATCGGATTCAATGCGGCTGAGCAGCCGCTGCTTGCTCCCAAGCTCGCCGCCTTGCCAAGCCTGCAAGGTGAGCCTCAGCAGCAGACTATCAACTCTAGTACGCAAGAAAACCCGTCCTGGTGATTGCGACAAAAACTTCGTGAGCGTGGTTCAAAGCTGACAAAGGAGATTAGTCCTGCCATGTGTGGCTCAATTCGGCTCATGCTCCTCTTTATCCCTGTCAATTGACTTAACTACACAGTTCTCAACAATCAAAACCCGCAAGAGTTACATCGATGCTACACAGATCGTGGGTGTAGCTCTGGGAGGTTGGTGGACGCTAATCCTGCTTCCCATCTATCGCTTCAGCAGTCCTTGGGCCTCATGAAAAAGAATGTTACTATGCATGTTTGCGCAGCCGTAGGTTGGAATTCGGAAAGCCAGGAGGCGGTCTGCTTCTTCAGGCAAAAGTCATTTGCATCTGTCACAGTCCGCCCCATTCACTGCCATGGCAGGGTTTGGCAAGCATGGGACTCTGGCGTGCTGTGTCTCTCGTGTCCATGTCTGCGCGTCTGCATTGATGTTTGCCTTGCTTGGTGCTCGTGCATGGATGTAGACTTGGGTTGTGGTACCATGTGATTTGGTATGTGTTTTTGATGTGTTGTTGTTTTGCTTTTGGTTGGTTTCGATCTTACCCAAGAGCAAGCTATAGCAAGCTATGGTTCCTGCGAAAACAACAGCGCAACGTGCTCCGGCCCTCGCCCCCGCGGGATTCAGGCGGACTCCCGGAACCGTAGTAGCAGCAGCAGCAGCAGCAGCAGCAGCAGCAACAGCAGCAGCAGCAGGAGTAGTAGTAGTAGTAGTAGTAGTAGTAGTAGTTTTTTTGTCACCCACTTGGCACGTCAACGACAGTAGTAGTAGTAGTAGTAGTAGTAGTAGTAGTAGTAGCAGGAGTAGTAGTAGTGGTAGTAGTAGTAGTAGTAGTAGTAGTAGTAGTAGTTGCTGTTGTAGTAGCCCCCTACCAACTACACTTGCTCAAAACCATCTTAAGAGCACATCCGTTTTACTCGATATTTACCGGACTTTCGTCATGTACGATCATCATAAGAAGCCTCTTAATCGACTTGCCGAGCTTGCAAACTCGGCCTCTTGATTTTGGACTTGCTTCTGGGGGGGGAGGGCGTGGGGATGATGACGATAGTGTTACGCAAACACAACCAACAATATCACCACAAGAGCCGTTTTACTCGGTATTTACACTACTTTCGTGATGTCCTATTTTCTTATATAGTTGCCCCCCCTACTTCTGGACTGGGCGTCTTAAACTTTGGTGTCTCGAACGGCGTGCCGAAAAAACTCGAAATTAGTTGGGGGAACCGTTTTCCTCGGTATTTGCAGTACTTGTGCACACGACCCCGCCTTTACTCGGTATTTACAGTACTTTTGGTGATGTTGGCGATGAAAGGTGATGAAATGTGTTTGCTTTTTGGTGCTGTTGGTGATGAAATGTGTTTGCTTTTTCGTGAGCACACAGCCCAGCGTCTACTCGGTATGTACAGTACTTTTGGTGATGTTGGTGATGAAAGGTGATGAAATGTGTTTGCTTTTTGGTGATGTTGGTAGTAGGAGTAGTAGTAGTAGTAGTAGTAGTAGTAGTAGTAGCAGCAGGAGTAGTAGTAGTGGTAGTAGTAGTAGTAGTAGTAGTAGTAGTGGTGGTAGGTAGGTGGGTAAGTAGTGCAACAAGAGTCGTAACACTCTCAACCGTAGCGGCCACGGGTACCAGCATTATGAGGCATATGATATCTCTTGTCGGACCAGTTCTAAGTGCTACTCCTAACCATAGTAGCCACCCACGCACCCCCAGCCCCTACTCCTCCTCCCAACTCGTAACACCAATAGCAATTTTCATAATACTGTTCCAACAAAGACTACTGCAATCCTCGTTGCCCCGTAATACTGTTCTTTCAGTTTCGATTACGGGGTGAGTTAATCGGCAGCAACCCAAGCCGCAGTGACAGTGAAAGAGAAGTACGTCGGCGATGTAAACATATTTGTTTCGAGCATACGACTCGACATGAGTGTAGCAACTCCGCACAAGAATTGTTATGTAGACTAGCCAGCATGACAAACAAGGACACAAAGATAATGGACGGTCTGCGGTCAGGTTTCCTCCGGGTGCCGGACGAGGAAGCCTTGGACGTGTGTTTTGGGGGCCTTTGTGTGCAGGGCCCCGAAGCTTGGTTTCTGGGTTTGAGGCAATCGGTTCAGGGCTGAGTATTTAGTTGTCTCTGGTTTTCGTTGCTTCTCCGTTTCTTAGGATTCCCACGTCGATATTGGAGAGGGGGTGGTCTCTGACTCGCACGCGGTGGGGTTTCATGACCAAGCAGCAACAACACACGCATGTTGGGCATACACCAGCAGGCACAAGCAACACACTTAAGCTGGAGTGAATGGTGCACAGATCACTGGGTGCATACATGGTGTGACTCATTCGTGTTTATGCATGGTGCTTCAGTCTGTAAGATTGTTTGCAGTTGTGTATGCACGTGTGTGTGTGTGTGTGTAGTATGCATGTGCGTATGATGTACGCTGTATGTACTCGTAGGAACGTATCTGAGTATCCGTGCCTGTTCATGCGAGTTTTTGTGTGAATCTATGCGTCATCTACCAGTATATAGCTGTGCTTGCAGTTGGTCGGAAAGGCACATTTGATTATACAATAAACAGGTAGTCAAACATCGTACGTATGTATCTATGTATGTATCTACACGTCATTGTTTATGTACACGTACAAACTGCTTTTATGTGTGCTGTGTGCTGTTTCTGTTGCTAAAGTAAACGTAGATTGTAGATGCACATGCTGACGTGTTCTGTTTGTGTGTAGATCTGCCTACCTTGTTGCCTGCTTGTCTGCCTACCTACCTGCCTGCCTCCCTGCCTCCCTGCCTGCCTGCCTGCCTGCCTGCCTTGTTCCGTGTGTCTCTCTGTGTGTGTGTGTGTCTGTGTGTCTGTGTGTCTGTCCGTGTATCTGTCTGTGTGTCTGTCTGTGTGTCTGTCTGTGTGTCTGTCTGTCTGTCTGTCTGTCTGTCTGCCTGTCTATCTGTCTGTCTGTCGGTCTGTCTGTCTGTCTGTCTGTCTGTCTGTCCTGTCTGTGTCTGTCTGTGTCTGTCTGTGTCTGTCTGTCTGTCTGTCTGTCTGTTTGTCTGTCGGTCTGTCGGTCTGTCCGTCTGTCGGTCTGTCGGTCTGTCTGTCTGTCGGTCTGTCTGTCTGTCTGCCTGGCTGCCTGGCTGGCTGTCTGTCTATCATGTCGTAGACATCCTCAGATTCATGTGACAAACAGGACCAAGATGCAGGCCTGGACGCTGTGAAGCACTCTCCGCCCAAAGCCTACAGCACGATGCTCAGAGAGGGGAGGAGGGTAAACTTTGCAGCTTTGCGAAGAGAGGTGGAGGTGGGAGGGAAGAAGCTATCGGACCCTCCTGTCTGATTCTGTGAGGATCAGCTGCAACATCCCCTGTCTAGTTATGTTAAGTGCATATGCATGCAGCCATGTTTTTGCTATGCCTGCATGTGTGTGGCAATGTCTGTACAGTACAGGTATACCGGCTAAATGTAGGTAGGTATGCATGTGAATTGGTCTGTATGTATGTACGTGGATTAACTAGGTATGAAGAAAAATTACAAGCATTTGGGTTCATGTGAATGTGTAGCAACACTGACATTCGCATCAGCATTGATGCTAATGCTAACAGGAATATCAACAGCGATATGTAATTATATGCACATAGTGTCAGTCTGTATGTACGTTACACTGCACCAGTTAGATGCCATAAATATCTATATACAGACTTGCACATTGCTTATGAGTAGAGCGACATAGACACAGAAATAGACATGTACATACATACACATAAATGCATGCTTGCATGTTCGTCTGTGCAGATACCCGACGTTCATGCAAGCCTTATGTCCACGCATACAGCTAGGTTTCTCGTTCATAGATATTCGGGTTATAGGCCACTAGGGTCAACGCAGGTTCATGTGCCGGTAGATGCGACATGGAACTTGTGGATAGACACGATGACATATGTCCAAAGTAAGTCCAAAAGATGTGAAGACTTGCGGCAAGGCATCGAAATACAGGCTGGAGTCGCTCTTGCTGCTTGGCTTTCAGCAGACGCCTTTTCAGTTTCCATTCGCAGATTCCCCTAGGATATGAGGGTAATCGCATGGTGAGGCTTCATGAATGCCGCAGCCGAAGGTTTCGCAGCCTTTTCGATGACGTGAAAATGTGTTGATGCTTCCATGCTGGTGGTGCAACCCAGGTAGTAGTAATTCGAGCAAGGATCGCAAAGTTTACCAAGAGGCTCTATTGTCGTGGGGACTGCTTATGTCCTTATTTGCGAATGTGCTGTTTCGTTGTATTAGAGTTTAGACTAGTTCAGATGGCTTGGGTGCCAGCGCAGGGTTTGGGTCCCAAGGTGGCATCGGCAGAACCTCAAAACTTAATGGGTAGTTGTCAAAATTATGGTCCCTTTTGGGGTGGCCTAAATAATAGGTGTCGCATTATAATAAGGACCCAAAAAGGGACCATAATTTTGACAACCACCCTAATCGCAGTCT